CTCCAAGAAACTTCCACCGTGCTGGTGAGAACAACGGACAGCTTAAGTCCCTTAACTTTTTCCTGACAAATCCCTAAGTATTGGAGCGGGGAGCAAAGCAGGAATGCCTCTGATTTGAAGTACAGCCTGTGATTGCGCCAGAAAAACGAAGACTCTCATAATATACTGAATCAAAACTGTCACATTTCTAAGCAGAGAATGCCTCAAGGGTGCCAAACAGGCAGAATGCCTTTTTATGATAATTTTAAATGCCTTAAAGACTGTATTCTTCCTCTGGGATACCTAATTTTCAATACGTATTATTTCTTAAATGTGCTCTGGGTGAAGGAGACCAAAAAACAAAACAAAACAAAACAAAAAAAAAAAAGGAAAAAAACCTCTTGGGAACAAATTTGGGGCTAAAAGCAGAGTCCAGGACAAGTGACCCTAAGATTTAAACCTCAGCAACGACTTACATCGGAAATACAGATTGTCAGTTCTGACCCCCAAATAGGGTGGAGGGCCCCATTTCTGAGTACAGTGGCTTTCCCCAAGGAAGTTAAGGGAACACTGGCACACGTCTTTTTGCCCACTGAACACAATTTCCTACTTGCCAGCCTGTGAAGTTGCCCTGGTGTCAATCAACATCACCAAGATGTCTCTGAACTGGACAAAGTTCGCTTTGCCTGTGCAAGGTCAGAAAGAGAGAAAATGACTTTTTGTGTTTTTTTGAAGACAAAAAAAGGAAACTAAAAATACTATGTGATAAATAGGGTTAAAAATAATTCTCTAAAACTATAAGGAGAAAAAGTTGACTCTCGGTGGAAAGACACCAACCTTAATACTAATGCTTTCAATCTAAAAGTGTATTTTTCACCTATTTTCCTTCTTCTGCACATAAAAATGATTAATGTCACAATTAAACTTCCACATTTTAGGCTCTAACAGGTGTAGCATTCTTTATGCAAACATACTCATTGACCTGTCACCACTGATAACCTTAATTAATTAATCTCGATTGGAGCAAAAACAAATGTTTTTCCCTCCAAATAAAAAGCAAGGCAACACAAATACCACTCTCCCTCAAACCTAAAAACTGTTTAAGTTACGGTAACCTGAAATGCACCAGCCATCACAAAGAGCAATTGGAGAAATCCAGCAGTGCTCAGCGGGAAAGAGTTTTAATAACAGATTGAAAAACAAGAATAAAAATAACTGCATCAACAGAGCCCTTCTTCCTCAGGCCACAAGCCCGTTCTTACTTGAACTTTTTTTTTTCCTAAAAAAAATGTCATTTTGGCCACTAAAACCAATCCAGAACATTATTAAAAGTTAAAAGCTACCAATTACTTCTGTCTGTTCTTTTAAAGCAAAGTTTGGCATTACGTCAGTTGGTTTAAAGAAAACAAGAAAGAGAGAGAGAAAGAGTAGGAGAGAAAGTTTCCTGCTTGTATAAACTAAACCACCAGGGAAGGTGTCTAGCCACTTGTAAAGTATTTACTGCAGGTTTTTAAAGAGCTAGAAACATTTTAAAAATTAAAAGTTTTTTTCCACAAAATGTACTTAAGAACGACAAGCATATACTTAATGTCTTCTTTGGGGGTGCTTCGATGTTATTTGTATTTCAATTATAGCTTTGAATCAGAAAATGATCTCTAACGACGCTTCAAATTTGAAGTACACACAAAATGTCATCTCTTTTTTTCTTTTCTTTTCCTTTTTTCTTTTTTTTTCTCTTTTGCTACTTTGCTACTTGAATTTGGGCTCATGAAGAGGAAAAAAAAGTGGGCTAAGAAGAAGCAGACTTCGCTATTATAGTAGTTACTGTAGCTACGGCGATTAACAATTGCGATAATTTTCACCCACAGATCTCTCTGCAACTTCAGTAAGAGTCTGTGTATGCCCGATGATGTTCTAACCCAAATCAAGTTCTGTTCTATGTTGCCCATCAGACCGAATCAAAGACCAACCAGTTCAGTTCTCAGGGATATGAGAATCACTGAACACTATGACAACGAAAGGTGGCCATAATGGTAACGTTAACAACATTATTTAGAAAGCTCACAATTCATAGAATTGTCTATACAAATCAACAAATGGTTTTAGACCCAATTACAGTCAAGGGTAAATTTTTTACAGTGGTTATTCTGTATTCAGCATTGCTTGCCACTAGAAAACAACCATTGATATATCGGCATATTTAATCGGCGGGTCAAGTTTCTAGGAGACAAATGATTTTGATAATTATAAAAAATACGGCCCAATTTTTTAAGCATAAAAATTGCAAAGTGCATTAATCTTTTAAATGCATGACCATTACAAGTACCCTTAAAGAAGGGTACTTTTACTTGGCAAAGGCTAGAAGAAAATCTTCTTTTCATACTTAAAGGGAGACCCAATATTCCACAAATCAAAATAGTAAGCAAGCATTCATTATTTCTGTATGATAGCGAAAGATCAGTGTTGTTATCACATAGACAAGCAACGTACAAACTAGCTTGGGGATGCTGTCATTTGATTTCCTCAAATTTCAATAAATAGTAAATAAGGAAGATGAGGTAAGTAAACAAGATTCAGAACTAGTTCTCAATGGTATTAGTAGCAAGCAGCAATAGAAGAAGAAAAACAAACCTCTGTTACCTGAAAACTTGATCAAGGAGGAACAACAGAAAACAAGCTCCTAAAACGTGCCTTTTTTTTTTTTTTTTTTTTAATCAAATTGATTACAACTTCTGAGCTGCAATATTTGGGACAGAACTGTCTGGGTTTATAGTTTTCTATGCCTGCCAAAAACAGATGCAGACTACCACACTAGCTGTCCTGCGGAAACTAAATTAAGCAAAGGCAAACACCAAGTGGAAAGCTGTCAGTCTGTTGAATGAATGGCTTCATTTTACACACCAGAGAATATCTTAATAAGAATATGTTTTAATGTGAGCCACTCATTTTATTTTAAGTGCATCACTTTTAATGTGTGACACTCATTTTAAGTACCTCACTTATTATAAAAATAATAATTTTCCTTCTAAATCAGTAATAGACACCTGCCCAGAACTTTCTTCAAGTCTATTTTGTTTTACATACAATAGCATAGTGTTGCTATATTATTGTCTGCTATCAAAAGGGGCATTGAAGTAAAAAAACTAATTTAACCTATGTATAATCAAAAGTGTTTAAAGGCCAATCATCAATATTTATCTCCATTTCCAATTCAAAGTAAAGTTTTAGTTCAAAATCATTTGCTGCAAGATCTTTTGAAACTTTGAGCAACGTTTATTTACTTCAACAAAGACGGTTAAAAGTTCATTTAGAACCAACCCCATTTGCCTTATTTCTTAATAAAAAAAAGTACAAACCATTAGCTGGAAACTGCAGTTTGAATCTCTGTGTACACATGCACACACACATAACAGTAACAGAAACATCCCTGGAATACTAGGCTCTCAAACGCAGCTTTCCAACACACGACTCCACTTCCCTGTTTTACAGGTTTTCCTATGAATGAATGTTTCCTTATGCGTAGAAGAGAGCCCTACAAGGTAGCAATCAGCATAAACTCAGGAGTGGTGGTACCTGATTGAAAAGAAAAAAAAAGAAAAAGAAAAAAAAAAAAAACAAGCCCACATATACCACAGGGGCACGAGTAACTCACGATTTGCACTTTGGGATCCTAACCTGTTTTATATAAAGCAAGTCTGTCGAAAATCTTCTAAAAGTCATTTAGAATGTGAGTCGTCAAAATGCCGAGCTCTTAATTCCACTCACAGTAACCATGACACTTTTCCCCCTTTCCTTGAATATTACCTTGAAGGGACAAAGGACAAAACCTAAACAGCAGCAGAGTCTGACAGCATCTATAATTCAGGGGCATGACAAACTTTCTGCAAGGAACTCCCTGTGTTCCACCATTTATTTGGAGAGCGCCAGACTTAGTTATTACGTGTGTAAAAGTATTCTACACACATGTACTCTAACATATAACAGACATACCAGGAAGTCGTAAACATCAGCTCGCCGGTGGTAAATACCAAGAGTGCCAGTGAAGTTTCAGCGAGCCTTAGGTTTAGAGAAATCAAGTCATAGCCTGGCACTGTCGTTCTTGTTCCTCCTCGGGACTTTTGTTTTCACAAAATTAATATCCAGAAATAATCGGCAAACTCTGGCACGTGAGCGGCCCTGTATGTTTAACTGGATCTAGAGGTGTTTTTATCCAAGGGTACAGCATTAAAAAAGGAAGCTAAGGCATCTAAGGAGAGACAAAATGCTAATAACTCTGTTTGACTTGTTAAGATGAAGCATGTCATTAATAAACTTTCGCTTAAAGGTAAAAAAAAAAAATTCTCAAGATGTTGGTATCATTTCCAGACTGTCCTGTCAGCATCACAACCCACAGACAGGAAGCACTCATCTTCCCATACTAACCCTGTGTTTATTCACAACCCTGGCATACTCAGGGAAAGGGGGAAAAAAAAAAAAAAAGCCCGCACAACCTTAAATGTTTTTGCTTTTTTACATAAACCGGTGGAGTAACTGAGAGAACCTTCCGAGCAAAGGAACAGCGTGCAAGGGCTTCACAGCAGTGAATTCAGAAACTTTCATTCTCATTTTGTCCACGTCAAGGACTGGCTGCCCGCATTACTTTCCTTTGCTGTCCCTCGCATTTTTAACTCCGGCAGCCTTTTCTAAATGATCAACTTTTCCTAAAACCAGCAGGAAGGTAACATGATGCCAGCAAGATCCATAAGCTTTTTATCTTGGGAGCTGAAGGACTTTGAAGAGTTGTTGGAAGTTTCCTATGTTTGCTTTGAGCAATCAAATTTTAGCCAACAACCAAGGCCTAGAATGATCATTTCTTTGTAAATTTTTGTCCCAGGCCCTATCTGCAGTTCCCCTTTGTACTTATTATCTCTCCCAGACCTTTTCCTGTTCACCTGGTGCCTTCACAAAAGTTCAGTGAATCTACAATGAGTCGGCCTAACTTGCCTCCGACTTAACTCCGCTAAGCTGTTCACTTCACTTACCTTGCTTCAACTCTAGCCGTGATTTTCCAAAATAGGATAAGGAGGAATACTCTATATCACAACTGTGATTCATCATTAAGATCCATGGCTCTTACTCAAGGAAAAAAAAAAAACCTTTCAAAGTTATCAATTCTGAGGCCTAAAAAGACAGGGGGAAGTCAAGCAGGTCCTAAAATTTAATAAGTCCAAGATTCCCTCTGAAACCCAACCAGTCTTCGCCCCTCTAACTTAAATTGCTTTAGAGTCCCAGGGCCATAAAGCAGTTAGTGACTTCCCGGGGGGGAAAAAAGGGGGGAAATACCACCATCTCAGACAGGTACTAACAAAAAGGCTTTCCCAGCCAGGGAAACAGCCTGGCACTTCAAACAGCTCGCACCTCCGCCTCACCCTCCAATTATTCCTGGGGTCCTAGCATCCTGGAGTTACTCCGAGGGGGGCAGCGGTGCCTGCCTTGGCCTTTCAAAGATGCGTCGTCGAAGAGCCCGCACGGGAACCGGACAGCAGGCAAAGCGCCCGTCCGCCTGGAGGTCCCACTGCTGTCAGGCACTTAATCACCGGCCAGTGTCCCCTGACCCGAGCGACACATGGCGCATCCAGCGCCCGGCAGAGGAAGTGTGCCCCTTCCTCAGCCCCTACGGAAGCGACCAGGCTGCAGGGCCCTGCCACATGGCACGGACAGGGCACAGAGCGCTCGGCCGAGCTGCCCTGCGTCGCTCAGGGGGCCGGTGCACCAGGGGATGCGACACCCTCCCTCTCCTCCAGCCCAGCTGGGCCTGGAAGGAAAAAGAAAAAAAAAAAAAAGAAAAGTTTGAAGCCTGGCTCTGCAAACTCTTCAAAGCCAAAGCCAGTGAGTGCTGTGCTGTTTTCCCGCTTGGGGGGCCACGCGAAGGCCCCTGTCGGAGACCCTCGCAACCCTCCCACGCTCGCGCAACTTACTACTCTGCATGCTGGAGCCCCGTGTGCTCCCCGCTCGCCAGGAGCCCCCCAGAAAACCGGCGGCGGCGGCCCCTGGGGTCCAGCCACCTCCAGCTCCTCCGCTGCGCCCGCCCGGTAGGAAGAGAATCAAAATCAGCCAGAAAGAGACAGCGAAGGGGGAGTGGGGCTGCGAGGGGGAGGGGGCACCGGCCCGAAACTTCTTTTTTTGGCAAATGGGGATTTGTTTTTCCTCCTCCCCGGCGGCTGAACTTGACCCTGCTGACTCCAGGGGCTACCGCAGTTTGAAGTCGCTGGTTTCCAAGGCTCAGATGCCCGAGACCCCGCAGAAGGCAGGCGAGGAAAAGTAGGGGGGTGGTGGGGGGAGAAAATACAGAGGGGGGGGCGCAGCGAAGAAGAAAGAAAGAAAGAAAGAAATCACACGCGCAAAAAGGAAGAAAGAAAAATGCATGTGAAACCCGAGAAGCCTGCGCTGGGCTTTCTGCACACACTCTCCCTCGGCTTTTTTTTTTTTTTTTTTTCCTCAAAGAAAGTCACTTTTAATTCCCAGGGCTCCCCGCTCCGCTCGCGAGCGCCCACATTTTGCGCACACACGCGCGCGGGCGCAGCACTCGCGGCGCGGCGCCCCGGGCCCGGCCCAGGGGCTCCCGCGGCCCCCGCGACCCCCGCGCCCCCCGCGGCCCGCCCGGGCCTCCCCTCCTTACCTGTTGATTAATCGTCAAGAACACCCTCGGCAGCCCGAAAGATGGTGGCGCGGCGGCCAGAGCCATGAACCGTCTTCTGTTGTTTGCAGAGTTGATCTTGGATTATTTTGGGGGTGGGGGGAGAGAAAAAGGTCTTTCCTGCCTCCCCCCCTTTCCCTGCCCTCCCCCTCCCTTTATTAAAAAAAGAGAGAGAGAGAGAGAAAGAGAGAGAGAGAGAGAAAGGAAATAGAGCAAGGATGTGCCCGGTGCCGGGTGGGAGAGGGAGGGGGGGTGTTGTTTTTTGTTAAAAAAAAAAAAAAAAAAGAAAAGAAAATAGGAAGGCGAGAGAGCGATCGAGAGGACGCGAGGTCTGGAGAAACGAGCAGCACCAAAAAAGAGGACGCTTCAGATTGCAGTGAGATCGGGTCTTTATCAGAAATGTTATCGCTTGTCAGGACCTCAGTCTCCGCGCATTACGTCAGTTTCAAGACACCAACACTATTAATATCAAAGGAGCCTTCGCGGAGGAAAGCGCCACCCCAGACCGAGCTCCCTTAAAGAGACAGCGCGCGTCCCCGCGCCGCCGCCGCCGCCGCCGTCGCCGCCGCCGCCCCGCCCGGCTCCGCGCCCCGCCGCCGCCGCCGCCGCCGCCGCCGCCGCCCGCCGGGACCGGCCCCGGCCGCGGCGCGCCGGCTGCGCGAGAACTTCGGCCGAGTCGGAGCGCGGCGAATGAGAGCGGCGCGGTGCCGGGACCCGGCTACCTTCCCGCCCCGCCTCTCCCCCCTCCTCCCTCCCCCACCCCCGTGTGGGAACGTGCGGGCTGCGAAAGGAGGACAGGCATCGCCGGGCTTCGGCACGAAGACGGTGGAGACGCGGACCTACCTACCTCAGGGGAGCGCGGGGGGCAGGTGGGGGGCGGTGCGTGGCGGCCGCGGCGGCGGTGCCTGAAGTCCTCGGAGATGCTGAGGGGGAGACCATGAGAAGAAACTCTCAAAGTGCTTTCACCTTTCGCTCGTTACTTTCCCCCTCTGCCTCCCGAGGAGGCGACGCCGCGTCCGTGTGCGTGCGCCTGGGCCCCCTCCCCCGCAGGTTGTCCGCGGCGACCTCCGGCCGGCCGGGGGGACACCTAGCCGCGGCCGCCGGTGGTCCGGCTTCCCGAGCCTGGGCCGGCACCTTGAACTCTGCCCCGCGTCGCAGGAGCGCGCCCTGAGGTTGCTATGGTTTTTCTGAGCTGAGGAGAAGCCCCAGCCCGAATGGGTTCTTGAGGAGCGAGGGTACCAATAAAATTGAGGGAGAAAAAAAAATGGGCGCATAGCATTCCTCTAATGCTGCAGGACCGATGCACGGTGCTCTTGGGGAGTTTGGTGGCAGAGCTAAGTCTGAATTCAGCGTGACATTCTTTTTCCTACTTCACATCTCCAACTACTCCCATTGTTAACAGAAATTGCCTCAACATAAAGTTCACTGAATTGAACGGGTCCTTTTTTTTTTTTTTCTTTAACTTTTAAAGATCAACAATGCATAAAACATTACCATGACAGGATTCAAAGTATAGTAGGTGTTAAAAACTAAGTAAACATTTCTTGGGCGTTTGGACTTCATTTTCTTCAGTTGGGTGACTTTAAGTAGCGTGTTTTTTTCCTCTGGTGAAAGTCAGTTTAAACTAATTTTGTGCTAAAAAGGAGAATCACCCTTCCTTCTCCGAACTACCAAATGATTGAAATTAGAATTTTAGAGAGGTACAATCTGTGAGCTGAAGATGAAGTAATTTCCTCCAAAATATTTTTCCCTAAATGATTCTTGCATCTTTTTTAGAGAAAAGATGAGTATGTTTTTGAACCTAGTAATATCAGAAGTGAAAAAACCAGTCATATTAAAAATTAAAAGTAATGTCTGTGCATTTAAAACCTTACTCCTTTTTCTGTAAGGTCTGCAGGTCTGTCTCCTGTGCCTGGTCACGCAGATAGGGGATTTCTTTTTGTAGCGCATTTATTCAAGAAGTATTTTGGTGGCGTATCCCATACACTCTTTGTGAATAGGCAAGCAATAACTCTTTTGAAATAAAGGAGCTAGTCAGGTGAAATAGTCAAACTACAGTTTCACAACCGGGCAAACAATATATTTCCTAAAAGAGGGAGAAGACAATGATCTCATATGCATGGAGCTACTTATACGTTATCATCAATTTAAATTAATTTAGGGAAAGAGCTAGATTTATATATAGCCCTGCATGCCGGGAAAATTAATATCAAAATCTTCAGTAAATCTCATAGTCAGCTACTAATGACCACCTGCATATTTCCACACTTGAGTCATTTAATATTGTCCACCACCAATTTCCACTGTAAAAAGTATTCATACATTAAATATAGACCTTTTATTTTCTTTTTTAAGCCATAAATTAAGTTGCCGGCTTTTATGGAAATATGCGCTGCACAGTGAGAAGCATTTTTATTCAGAAAAAAAAATAAGAGTCTGAGTGAAACATTCTTTAGCCATGACTAACTAAAAATTAGATGAAATACATTTTGAAAATATGTATCTGAAGAGCAAGACTGCTTGGCTTTAAAGGGTTAATACCACCTAAAACTGCTGAAGTTGGTATCCAACTGATAAAATCTGAGACTATAGCATCTTAGCCAAAGTTAAATAGTACAATTTATCACAAGGATTAGTTCCCTAATCTCCTTCTGCTCCCCAAGATTTAAATGACATTTTTAAAAGGGAAGTGATCTTCCCCTCCGTCACCCTCAAATCCAAGGCAATCGTCAAGAGTGTAAATTTACTCACATGAAACAATCATTGATTAAATTGGTTCAAAAAATTAAATTACATGCTTTTCCAAGCACAAAACCCTTGAGGTTGCTGGTGTTTGTCCACCTGTAATAATACAAAATTTGACCATTAAGTGTACCCAAAATTATACATTATATGAAAAATTAAAGTCAAAAGTCTAAGCGTGAATTATGTCCTTTAATTGAAAGTATAAAGTTACACTCCAGGTACTAAAGCCAACAAATTCATGGTCACTTAAAAATTTAATGAATGAAGTTTCACGGACTCAATTTTGCTGAAGTTTGCCTGAGAAATCAAAACTCTCTTCTTGTTACTTTTTGTATTTTAAGTTAGAGCAAAGCAGATCAAAATGTTGTCTGTATCAATCCATTTACATTAACCACAAAAGATCTGTAGAGAACTTAATAAAAGCACAAATATTTTTGTAAACTTTTTCAAACAAATTACTTTTTTATTTATGAAATAATTTATGAAGAAAATTTTTACCTCATGCTTTAGATATATTACATATGCTCTTGATTGACACAATATGTTTAAACTCAAAGGCCCCATAGCATTTTTTAACTCTAGTAGGAATATTTCAAAACAACCAACTAATACATGAGGTCATAATTGTTTGACAGTTGTTTTTAATCTATAAAATAAGTTATGTATATTGTTTTGCTTCAAATGTTTGTTGATTTGTTTTTCTAGTCCTGACATTTGCATGGCACAAACTGAATTAGGGGAAATATTAAAGATTTGTTTACATTTATTATCTTCTGCTGTCAAACATATGCAAAACTCCCAAAACCGTTTCTCTTCTTTTGCTTATATTTGCAAAGTATTGCATTTCTGAACAATGAATTTTGGATGCTAAAATGACAACCTGTGCTTCACAAGACACCTTCTAACATAAAGAAGAAATTAGGAGAAATTTAAAAAAAAAAAAAAGAAACAACTTTTAGCTAAAATATCTCCTTTGCATTCTCTTACAATTCTTTGACTTCTGGAATGCTGTCTCATGACTGGACCACTGATAAAACAGTTCGTTAAGCTGTATTAAGGTTTATTATTTATCAAAATGATATACTGTACTTTTTCTGTTTTATTATTTCAACATTACTTTCCCCCCTTTTCTTGTAGTTTATTCAGCGGAGATAGAAAGAGGGATTAGTAGTTAAGCACAGGCATACTTGTTTTACATTTTCAACCTTTTAGCACGTAACTTACTTACAGTTCCAGTGCCTGTAATCACAATGGTTTTACCTGATGGAACACGTATTTCAGAAACGTAATCCAACTGTTTACCCTAACACATCATAAATTGCAATTCCTTTTAGAAAAACCTCGAAGATTGACAACTCTTGGTCCTAAATGCCGACTGTTTTTGACACATACTATCGAGAACATATTTATGTGTTATTTGCTCTCAAGTTAGTACTGCATCCTATGAAACGGAAGACCATTTTGCCTTCCAGTACATCCAAGCAGT